GTTGTGGAAGCTAATGGGGTTCCTTATAAATAAACAAATAAACAAATGGCTGGACATTCCCCTTTAAGATTTTCTGAAAGAGAGAAAAATGTATGGTTCAATGAATTACAGCAAATCATCCAGGTGCAATGGGACATAATATATTTATAAAAGTCTTCAGGCTGTGTTCATTTAAGAGGTTTTATAGCGAATGGTGAGACGAGCCTTTGTGTTCTTTCTGGTCAGCAGTGGTTTTCACCTTGGAACTCTCCCACAGATGCCATTGTTCCCTCGTCTTTCTTATTGTTGAATCATGAACACTTTAACTGTGGCAGGTGAGGCCTGCAGTTCTTTAGATGTTGTTCTGGGTTCTTTTATGAGCTCCTGGATTAGTTGATGCTCTTGAAGTAATTTCTGTAGGCTGGCCACTGCTTAAAGGTTCACCTCTGTTCCAGGTTTTCTCTGTTTGTGGATAATGGCTCTCATTGTGGAGTCTCAAAGCGTTAGAAATGACCTTTTCCTTCCCAGACTGATAGATGTCAGGGACTTTGTTTTTTGTCTGTTCTTACGTTTCTTTACGGTTTGTTTTTTGGGCTCTTTTCAACTTTTTTTACTTTGTCAGATTGCTTCTATTTCTCAATTCAAAAGGCAGCAGTCAGACTGTGAAAGTGGGAGAAAAAAAAGTTAATCGGAACTGATTCCTGATTTAACGAGAGAGGACGATTAATTTTCCACCCAGTTAAGTTTAGATAGCTTTTACCCCTTTAATAAATAAAATCATCATCAGAACTGTATTTCATACTCACTCAGCTTATCTTTGTCTTGTTTTGTACACAACTTGATTTTTCATGAAATATGTAAATGTTACAAAAATGCAAAAAGCTAAGAAAGGAAAGGTCTAAATGTTTTTCACCACACTGTATATTAAATATTTTGTTGAAAAATCAGTGGCCACTTTATATGTCTAGTGAAGTCTCCACTGACTGTAGTTTGTGTCATTAATCTCTTGTACTCTCCCTGTTCCCACTTTCCAAGCTGGTTTTCCACTTCCAGACACTGTTGGACAACTTCGAGAGGACAGTCATTGATGACAGCCGACTAGCTGGCAGACCGGCAGAGATCTTTGTCGGAAAGATGTTTAAGATGGAAGTCTGGGAGACCCTGTTGACGTCCATGCGTGTTGGAGAGGTGGCTGAGTTCTGGTGTGATGCCATTGTGAGTTGGATTACAAACCGCACGCACACATTCTGAGATATCCGGCCCCTGAGAGGATGTAATAAGTGTTCATGACTGGGAAAGCGAAGCTTTTACTCCTCATTATAATGCACATGAATCAACGTTCTGCAGCCTCCAACATGCTCAGTAATATAAACATAAACAAAGCAATCTCTTTGTGCATTTTTTTCTGTTTTTCCTTCTGGAGGAAAATGTAATTTGCAAGTAAAATTGTGCGACTTCTTGTGTTTTTTCTTGTACGGCTGATTGGCACGGGC